GTGGGTAGGGGCCACTCACATACCTGGACAGCCCTAGGGAAAGGGGTCTCTAGAGGAGGGGAGGGGAGGGGACAGAAGCTTAGACAGGTGGGTCCCCAGCCCTTGAGGTGCTGGCTGGGCCCAGTGGCAGCAGCGGGAGCTTCAGAGCACCAGTTCAGACATTGGTCTATTAAAAATGGGACCTAGGGATTCTGCCTCGTAAGCCCCATTTTCTGTCTTGGGAGGTGAGGACAGACAGCTGCTACTTCCTCGGGCGTGGAAAGGAAATGGGATGGCGTTTGTACAGCTCTTGCAAGTGTTATACTGTATACAGTAGGTGTTACAGGTCGTCGTGGAGCTGGCGTGTCTCCATAGGTTCTCTGAAGGGGAAGGGGCTGTGCTCCAGGCCAAGCCGTGTGTGGTGAATGTCACGCTAGCTGCCCCTCCCTGTTTGTGTAGCTATTTACCGAGTGATTACTATTACACATATTGAAGGCTGTCTCCTGATTTATTCTCCAGTCACTGGACAGGGTCATCGTACACTGCACGTCAAGTACAGACCCCCTGCTGTGCACATGGCCAGCTTGACGTTCCCTGCCCTGTGCAGTGCTGTGGTCAGCAGGCCAGGCCGGTGCTGGAGAGACTTCGTGGAGCTCTGCGTGGCCGGCAGGGTCTGGGCTCCAGTGGATCAAGCAGCTGCAGCCTCACCTGTTCATAACATGTGGCTGGCTATCAGCCTTCTGGCCCCTGCAGCTGCTGGCTTTGGGAGCACCTCATCCACATCCCTCCTTTTTCCCTTCAGCAGGCTGCCTTAGGGTGACTCTGTCCTGCTTCTCTGCTGGCCTGTGCACCCTGCACAGAGACAGGCTGGACAGCCCATCCTTGGACATTTGTTGAGAACTCAGGTTAGAACATGGTATGTGGTCAGAGTTCAGGAACGTCCCGTGGATGGTAGGAAAGGATCCGAGCCCTGTGTGCCCATGAGATGAGGCGTGGTTAGCCGAGCCCTCTTTTGTCCTAGAGGTTCTGTCCCGCGCACACCTCCTGGGATGTGGGACAGCCTGTTTGTAGCAGCGCCTCTGCCGGACATTCATGGAGCTGCACCAGTTTTCTCGTCAGTGTAGCTTCACCCTTCTTGACTTTCTTTTTTTTTCTCCTCTCCTAGATTGGGATTCATTCGCTGGGTTTCCATAGTGGCTGCTCTGGATGTTTTAACACACAGAATTCACTTATCAGAATCTAAACTTAACCATTATTTTTACTGTTCTCCATACAATTCAGAGACCTTAGAACACTGTGAGTGTGGTGATTTCCATCTGCCCTAGGCCTGACCCCTCGGTGCCCCACCTCATCCCTGGTTCAGCTGGTGCCTGTGGCCTCCGCCCTGGTCTGTCGGGCTTTCTGTCCTCCACTGCTGCTTTCAAGCTGCACCGATCCTCCAGGTCTGCTGCTGGCCAGGCCCTCAGATGCACGTTCCTGGTTTTCCTTAGTGTTTGCCCTCTGAGGTTCTGAACTATCTTCCCAACTCATCAATAGACATAACATTTTTTGAAAATAGTTTAAAACTCTCATATTGTTTATTCTTTCTTAGAGGGCTGGTCAAAGCTATGTCATCATTATTGTGACAGAAGTGGACCTGTTTACACCCATGGGTTTGTCTCCAGCAGGTGCTGCAAGCCAACACTGCTGCTCCCAGTCCTCCCTGCATCTGGCCACGCTCGGCCCTTCCTAGAAGTTGCTGGCCTTTCTGTTACTGGGACTTGGAAGAAAAAAAGCCTGTGACAGACAGAGTTGGTGAAATGTTTCTTGGATTTATCAAGAGTTTTGAGGAAACTCTGGCAACTAACTGGAAGGGACTCCCCCAGAGGCAGTGGAAGCCCCTCACAGACCATTGCTGACAGAGGGTGCCGCCCCCCGAGGCCCTACTGTGCCCAGGATCCTGTGCAGACCCAGCAGTCCCTGACCCGGCTTGTTTTCAGGTTACATACTCTTCCTGATGTTTTTCTAAAAAATATATCTTTATTTTCAGAGAGAGGAAGGGAAAGGGAGAGAGATAGAAACATCAAAGATGAGAGAGAGTTGCGGGATCGAGCCCACAACCCGGGCATGTGCCCTGACCGGGAATTGAACTGCGATCTCCTGGATCATAGGTCGATGCTCAACCACTGAGCAACACCGGCTGGGCTTCCTGATGTGACGTTTTTCTGCTCTGCTTTCTATTAGATTAAAAGTTTCTTTTGTTTTATTTTCACTGGTGTTGATGAACATTTCATGGTAAGGCCCCAAGCGAAGCCTCTGTTCTCTGTAACCACTCATCAAATTGTCCTGCCTATGTGGTTTTCATTAAAAATGTCCTTTTATGCTTTTTATTTAAAACACTGTATTAAATTGAGTGGAGTGGCAATANGGGTTACAATGGTTAATATGAACATAGAGGTTTCAGGTGTGGGTTTTCGTGTTACAAGATCTGTATATTGCTCTGTGTGCCCTCCACCCAAAGCCATATCTTCTCCCATCACCATATATTAAGACCCCTTCACCCTCCACCCCCTTCCCTCTAGCAGCCACCACACTGCTCTTTGTGTCCACTATTTTCAGTTTTATATCCCACATATGAGTGAAATCGTATGGTTCTTAGCTTTTCCTGACCAACTTATTTCCCTGAGCATAATATTCTCGAGGTCCATCCATGTTGTGGCAAATGGCAGCATCTCACCCTTTCCACGGCTGAGTAGTGTCCATCGTGTGCATGCCCCACATCTTCTTTGTCCCGTCCTCTATCGCAGGACACTTTGGTTGTCTCCACNAGGTTTCAGGTGTGGGTTTTCGTGTTACAAGATCTGTATATTGCTCTGTGTGCCCTCCACCCAAAGCCATATCTTCTCCCATCACCATATATTAAGACCCCTTCACCCCCCACCCCCTTCCCTCTGGCAGCCACCACACTGCTCTTTGTGTCCACCATTTTCAGTTTTATATCCCACATATGAGTGCAATCGTATGGTTCTTAGCTTTTTCTGTCCGACGTATTTCCCTGAGCATAATATTCTCGAGGTCCATCCATGTTGTGGCAAATGGCAGCATCTCACCCTTTCCACGGCTGAGTAGTGTCCATCGTGTGCATGCCCCACATCTTCTTTGTCCCGTCCTCTATCGCAGGACACTTTGGTTGTCTCCACGTCTTGGCCACCATGAATAATACTGCAGTGAAAGTGGGGGTGCATATATCTTCGCGAATACGTGTTTTCGTTTTTCCAGTATACACCCAGGAGAGGGATGGCTGGGTCGTATGGTGGCTCTATTCTTAACTTGTTGAGGAATCGCCAGGCTGCTGTCCACAGTGGTTGTGCCAGTCTGCATTCCGACGAGCAGTGAGGGAGGGCTCCCTTCTCTCCACAACCCCTCCAGCACGTGATTGCTCGTCTTGTTGATAACAGCAACTCTAACAGTGCGAGGTGGTATCTCACAGCAGTTTTTGTATTTCCCTAATAGCTAGTGAGGTTGCACATCTTTTCATATCTATTGGCTGTTCGTATGTCTTCCTGGGAGAGGTGTCTGTTCAGGTCCTCTACCCACTGTTTGGGTTGTTTGGTGTTGAGTTTTATGAGTTTATATATTTTGGAAATTAAACCTTTGTGGGAGCTACTGTTTGAAAACACCATCTCCCATCTGGTTGGCTGCCTCTCTGTTTTGTTGTAAGTTTCTTTTGCTGTGCAGCTTTTTAGTTTGATACAGTCCCATTCACTTATTTTTGCCTTTACTTCCCTCGCTTTTGGGGTCAAGCTCATAAAATGTTCCCTAAAACCAAGGTTCATAAGTTTGGTACCTATATTTCTTCTATGTAACTTACTGTTTCAGGTCTCACATTTAGGTCTTTGATTCATTTTGAGTTAAATGTTTTTGTACATGAGGACAAACTGTAATCCAGTTTTATTCTTTTGCATATAGCTTTCCAGTTTTCCCAGCACCATTCATTTATTTATTTTTTATGTATTTATTTTTTTAAATTTAGCTTTATTGTTGAAAGTATTACAGGTGTCCCATTTTTCCCCCCATTGACCCCCTCCATCTCGCTCCCACCGCCTCCCCAAGTCTTCACCCCATTATAGTCTGTGTCCATAGATTATGCATATATGCATATAACTTCTTTGGTTAAGCTTTCCCCCCTCACCCTCCTTCCCTGTGAGAACAGTCTGTTACATGCTTCAATATCTCTGAATCTATTTAGTTTGTCAGTTTCTTTTATTCATTACCTTCTACTTAAAGAAGACCCATCAACATTTCATATTGTACCAGCTTGGTGCTGATGAACTCCTTTAACTTTTTCTTATCTGTGAAGGTCTTTATCTGACCCTCAGTTCTAAATGACAGCTTTCCTGGGTAGAGTCATCTTGTTTGTAGGTTCTTGCTTTTCATAACTTTGAATCAATTTCTTGCCACTCCCTTCTGGCCTACAAGGTTTCTGTTGAGAAATCAGCTGACAGTCGTATGGGAGCTCCCTTGTAAGTAACTAACTGCTTTTCTCTTGCTGCTTTAAGATTCTCTCTTTGTCTTTAACCTTTGGCATTTTAATTATGATGTGTCTTGCTATGGGCCTCTTTGGGTTGGTCTTGTTTGGGACTCTCTCTGCATCCTGGACTTGTAAGTCGATTTCTTTCCCCAGATAGGGGAAGTTCTCTGTAATTATTTTTTCAAATAGGTTTTCACTTTCTTGCTCTCTTTCTTCTCCTTCTGGCATCCCCCACAATGCAAATGTTGGGACGCTTAAAGTTGTCCCAGAGACTCCTCACACTATCTTCATATTTCTGGATTCTTTTTTCTTCTTGCTCTTCTGGTTGGGTGTTTTTTGTTTCCTCATGTTCCAAATTGCTGATTTGATTCTCAGCTTCCTCTCCTCTACTGTTGACTCCCTGTAAATTATTCTTTATTTCAGTTTATGTGGCATTCATTTCTGACTGGTTCTTTATTATGTCATTGATGATATCACTAGTTTCCTTAATAGTTGTACTAAGATCCTTGAGCATCCTTATAACCATAATTCTGAACTCTGTATCTAGTAGCTTGCTTTGCTCCATTTCATTTAGTTCTTTTTCTGATTTCTTCTGTTTTTTCCTTTGGGATATGTTTCTTTAGTCTCCACATTTTGGCTGTTTCCAGGTGTTTGTTTCTTTGTATGAGGTAGAACTGCTATGTCTCCTGGAATTTGTAGAGTGGCTTTGTGTAGTAGGTGTCCTGTAGAGCCCCTTGAGTGTCACTCATGGATATGGTAGGGTTGTAATCCAGTGTGGTCAAAGCTGACCACCAGGTGCACTGTCTCTGGGGTCTCCTGGGAGGTACAAAGTCAGCCTCTGCCTGTGCCCTGCCCAAGGCTACCTAGCATGAGCTACACAGCAGTCAGTAGATGACTACTACCTGTGCTGGGCTTGGAGGTGTCCAGGAGAGACCAAGCTATGAACCAATGCAGGCTGCCATAAGTGCCAGTCCTGGGGCCACTTATCAAAATGTATGGGGCACGCTGAGGCCAGCTGCTGCTTGTTTGAGAGATTTTAGGAAAGTCCTAAGCATGAGGCTAGAGAGGCTACTTGCATATAAAAGCCACTGGAAATGGCTTGGATGAGCTTGCAAGTAGGGAGGGGCAAGGTCTCCAGGAATCAACAGGGTGGGGCCAAAGGTGTAAGTCAAGTTGATGGAGATTCCAAGAAGGTGCCTGCCTGCCAGCTCTGTGCGGGGAGGGCTTGCCTAAGGAGCAATGACCTCTGCCAGCTCTTCTGTCTGGGAGAAAGCTGCCCCTCCAGCTCTCTTCCTGAATCCAAGCAAGGTAGTTCCTCCCCAGATGTCCCAGGTTCCTTTCAATATGCTGCCCAGTGGTGGACCTCAGAGGGAGTGTATCTGAATCTGTGCACCAGCCCTTTAAGAGGAACTGCACGGGACTGCCACAGCCTTCGTGTCCCTCAGCCACAGTCCCCGCTGGTTTTTACAGACTGAAGTTGTGGGACTTCTTTTCCCAGCACTGAAACCCTGGACTGGGACGACTGATGTCGGAGTGAGACCCCTCGCACCTCTGGGAAACCTCCAGTGCTGAGATATCCCGCCAGGTTTTAAACTGTGGCACCAGGTGTGGGACCATGGCCACGTCTCTGCAATTCAGCCCTGATTCCGCACCCCGTCTCCACCCCTCCTATGGGTCTCAGTGCTTCTTCAGTTCCTTCATTGTAGGACTTCTGTTCAGCTAGATTTCAGGAGGTTCTGAATGATGGTTCTGTATTTTAGTTGTAATTTTGATATGGTTGTGTGAGGCGGCAGGTACCGCGGTTTCCTACACCGCCATCTTATCTCTCCCCCAGCACCATTTATTGAAGAAACAATCTTTACTCCATTGTGTGTTTCTGGCTCCTTTGTCGAAAATTACCTGCCCATGTACATGTGGTTTTATATCTGGCCTCTCTATTCTGTCCCACTGATCCTTGTGTCTGTTTCTGTGCCAATACTATGCTGTTTTGATTATTGTAGCTCTGTAGTATAATTTGAAGTCAGGTAGTGTGATATCTCCAGCTTCATTCTTTTTTCTCAGGGTTGCTTTGGCTATTCAGGGTCTTTTGTGGTTCCCTACAAATCTGATGGTTTCTCGTTCAATTTCTTTAAAAAGCGACATTGAGATTTTGATGGGGATGCATTAAATCTGTGTATTGCTTTGGGTAATATGGTCATTTTAGCCATGTTGATTCTTCCAATCCATGAACATGGGGTATTTTCCCATTTTGCTATGTCTTTTTCAGTCTCTTTCAATAATGCTTTGTGATTTTCAGCATATAGTTCTTTCATGTTCTTTGTTAAGTTTATTCCTAGGTAAGTTTTTGTTGTTGTTGCAGTTGGGAAAGGAATTTTTTTTTTCATTTCTTTTTCTGAAGTTTTGTTGTTAGTATACAGGAAAGCAATGGGTTTTTGTACATTGATTTTGTATCCTGTAACTTTGCTATAT